GACTTACAGAAGTATATTATGTTAATAGAGTTACCGTTGTCAACAAAACTTGCAATTTCATAAAAAAACTATATTGAGTTTATCTGACCAGACTTGTTTTCCATAAAACCATATTGACTGGCATTAATTACGCTGCCACCCTTTAACTCTTTACTGATTGCATCCTGTATAAGTCTTTCCATGATTTTGCCCAGAATCGATGTCACTCTAGCCAGCATATATGTACATGGGTCATCCCATTTACCTTTTAAAAATATTGGCACAAAATACTTTAGTTTTTTCCCAGTCCTCTGGAACATCTTGTAGCCCAATGTAGTAATATAATATTGATTATATAATTATATTGATTACTTAAGAATTCCCAGTTATCCCTTTGAGGGGTGACAGGTTCTTGTCCCAAGATCAGACCGTTTTATAAAATTACTATGTAGTTGGGAACCCCACTGTGCACAGTTGCAACACTCACACTATAGGAACTCTTCTATATTTTCAAATATTGTATTAATACTTTTAGCAAAGTCACAAACACTCTAACTCAATAAGGTAGATAGAGAGACTATAGAATGTACCTCTGCACATCCATATACTCACACCATGCCTTGCAGGACGACCTGAAATGTTAGCCATTATCTTCCTCATCATCATCACCTTCCTCCTCATCATGAGTGGCCATCATTCTGGTCCCTTCCAAGGGCCACCTCTCTCTCTCTCTCTCTCTCTCTCCTACCCCATCATGCTGGGATGCGACTTGTATGATATGTTGCACCGACACCACTATATCTAATGCATATTCAGTAACAGGTTTTCCCCTTTTCCTTATTTGTATTTTCTCATCCTACTAATGCTGAGGTTAGTCATTCTTCTATACGTTAGTATATTGATACACGTACTACCACAGGGATCTGCAACCTTTGGCACACGGCCCATCAGGGAAAGCCTCCATTGGCCTGGAGTGGCAAACCACGGCCAGTGGGAGCTGCGATCGGCCGAACCTGCGGACGCTGCAGGTAAACAAACCGTCCCGGCCCGCCAGCGGCTTTCCCTGATGGGCCGCCTGCCAAAGGTTGCTGATCCCTGTCAGCTCATGATCATATCCATCACCCCTTGCTTAAGCAGATGTTGGGTTATTACTTCTATGTTCCTTGTGGTGGCACTTACTGGAACATTCCACCTCCTACTATTGAGCAAGCTCTCCCTAGTTCCTAAAATCTAAAGGTAATAGTTGATCTATGCCACGGGTTATGGCCTATTTAACCACACTTATGCTAACTTATGCTTCATCTACTGTCTTACAGGATACTGTAGGTTTCTTGTATTACAGCTGAATATAATGAAAACAGCTACATATAATGAAGGCAGGCAGTGAATATAGTAAAGGCAAGCTAGTCCTATGGGCTCCAGGCTCCAGTATCACAAGAATGGAATAAGGGCTGTATACGACTATTGTACTGTGTGTACAGCAACAGAACAGTATACAACTCTAGGATTGTTTCAGAACCTGTAGGAATTCTTCTGAATCTCTACATTATTTCAGAGGCAAGATGTAAGTACCATGCAAGAGCTGCAGAATGCATTAAATTGACAAGGAAACCATGGTTTTCCAACACAGTTAGTTACTCTGAAATAGCTGGTGACCATTGCTTATTTTATAAGCACGTTTGTTTGTTTGACCTCCAGCGTAGGTTAATATAAATAGGAAACCGTAGAGGACACATGCATTATTGTGCAGAGGGAAGAACTTTCTCTGAGTTTGGTTGTCCTATGTAAACAACATTTTCTATGCATGGAGTTGAAAGAGGAATGTTCAAATATTTGGAGAAAGTACAGTATGGTATATTTATAATAAAACATATTTTCTTCCTGCCCCATTTTTCTGACATGACGGATGACTTCCTCCTTGCAAAGTGCTTTAATTGTATGATTTTATATGCACAATAAATGCTCCTGGAATGGTAGCCATCTGTTGAAGTGGAAATAACAGTAAAAGTTCTGACGAAGTTTCAAGTAATTTCAGAAGGGAGCTCACAAATAATCTCCACCTGCAAAAATACCCTTCTGTGCAGGAAACCATCCTACGTGGATCTCTGCTTTTGGTGCTTTCTGCAGTGATATACGCCTTGGAAGTTCTCTGAGATCATCCATTTAGACTTTCTTTCAGTTCTTTCAGTGGTGGGTCTATGTATTTTTTTCATTTGCAATTGCTTTCAGGTTGAGGATTTTTTGGGAGAAGAGGGAGTTTTAACCTGTTTTCAGTCCTTTCTGTTTCAAAAGGCAGTCAGATACTAAGGTGATTGGGCACGTTATCAGAGCTCAGAAGGAAGGATGGTCTTGTAGTTAAGACCATGGATGGAGATCTGGGTTCAGTTTCTAGTTCTGCCACACACACCTTGTGTGGCCTTGGGCAAGTCACTTAACTCTTCTGTGTTTTAGTTTCCCATCTTTAAAAATAGGGATAACAATACTTCCATACCTTTAGAGTACTTTAAAGAGGATACATTTATTAATGTTTGTGAGGAGCACAGATACTATGGTTGTGGATCCCATAAAACCTATATATAGAGAGAGACAGAGATTTAAATGCTGATGCAAGGCTGCATGATAGGCTCCTTCTAAAGGGGGAAAGAACATGACAGGTAAACCCTGTCCTTCTGTTTCAGACTGCCATTGGCAGCATTTGGCAGTCATCATCTCCGACAATCCTAGTCTGTAATCTCTGTAATATATCCTGTCACCTTTGTGGCTCAATTCATGATCAAATCTTCGACCTGGGCCATGGTGAAGGGCAATATAATGTAAATGGGGGTGAGTGGCTTTTTTTGGTGACACACACACACTCTTTTAAGTGTAAACAATGCTGATGTAGATAAGAACAATGACTTATACCAAATGGCACTTTTTGTAACTTTCCTTTATATCCAAACCCTATGTGTATTGCGATCTCCGCTTTCAGAGTTACTGTATGTGTAAGACTAGACCCAAAGGGGTTGACCTTGAAAGGAAGAACATTCTTGCTGGGAAGCCAGGTGGAATAGTTTGCAATCTCAGAAATAACAATAAAAAAGCATGTTACTGTTGTAAGCGTGGTTGAGTGACTTCAGTATTCCGTTGAAACACATTCTATGTGCAAACATCGATTTTATTGGGACCCTCCACCTGACCAGTAAGTATGAAAATATTAGCAAGTAGCCCACAAAAAAAATGAATTGAAAAGAATGATGGAAACCAATATTAGTAAGATCTGTTAGAATGTACTGTAATTTACTTGACAATGGTTAGTCCGCTGGTGTGCCATTGCCCATCATGCTGACCAACATGTTTCATTGTTTCCTTGTGCTCCCCTGTCCTTCTGTATTCATCTGGGGTCTCTTGTCTTATCCTTTGATGGTAATCTCATTGGGGGCAGGGTCTGTGGTTTTGATCTGTTTCTATAGAGCACCCAGCACACTGGGGTTCTGCTCCATGATTATCACTCCTAATGCGTAATAAATACTACTACTAATTGTATTTTAAAATACACTGTAGTAAAAGGTACTGCTATTTTCCACTGTAGCTCAGAATCTTTTAGTATGTTGCTATGCATATTTGCTCTCAACCCACCTACTTAGATCTCAGGACTGAGCCCATCAGGAGCGCTGCCAGCTTTTTTGCCGCCCTAGGTGGCGGAAGTCCCGCCCCCGAAATGCCGCCCCCGACAGAGGCGGCGGAAGGTCTCACCCTCGAAATACCGCCGACGACCGGGGCAGCCGAAGATCCGGCCACTGCGGTCACCACCCCCCAAATGTTAGCGCCCTAGGCGACCGCCTAGGTCGCCTAATGGGTTGCGCCGGCCCTGGAGCCCATGAACATTAATTCTTTTACTTTGACTTACTAGTAATATGGGTGATACATTTCCCACTGTAGAGTGTCTATTTGTTGTGACTCGGTGCATGCCGCCAGATTTAGTTGAATCAATCCCTTAATGCTTTTATGGAGAAAAACAGCATGGTAGTTCCTACTTTTATGTTCTAGAAAGGCTTGTAAGGGAAATAGGTGCCCAAAAGTTTTCAGACTGGAAAAGTCCTGAGTGTGGTGTGTGTGTGTGTGTGTTCTGCTTTCATTCATCTCCTTTTACACAGTGAAAAAGGGAAATTAAGTTAATGGAAAGTATGTGATATGGCAGCAACTGTTGCTATAATAATAGCGTGCATACAAAGAGAGTTTCTGAGGAAATTATTCCATACAGTTTTTGAAAGGACTGTCATTTGCAACAAAGTTTTCCATACAAAAGATGGATGAAAAATGATTCAGTGTTATTATTTTGAAAAAAAAAATCCTCTTTAACAGTGGCAGTAGGAAACTTTTCCTTGGACTGTATTCACTTTGGTGTGAATTCAATGGGAGCAACAGGCCTTTGCTACCTCTGACAATCCGACTGATATTTAGGAGTCTAACTTCATAGCCAAGTTTGAAAAAAATTAGCTTTTATCATCATTTCCTTATTTCTATAAACGTTTAACTTGTTGATACACAATTTACAAATAAGGCCAGTGTGTGAGCCAGCACAGTTTATATCCCACTTAAATTTTATTTTAAGGATTTAAGTTGGATTTAAGTGGTCCATAGGCCTCATGCAGGAGTGAATTTCACGCCATGGGTCCCAGTCCTACAAGCTGAGTTGTGGGCACCCAAACATTGCACTCATGCAGAGCGCCATAGATGTCAATTGAGACTCCATGAGGGTGTAGAGTCCTGCCCATGCAAATGAGCTTGCAGGATCTGAGCCATAGTGGAGTTACATTTAGTGATACAAATTGATTGCATTATATTGCAATGTGCAGACTGCTCTTCTGGCTTTAGTGATTGTCTATATCCCATATAGAATGCCATATACTTCTGTGAAAAAATTGATTTTGCCCTAATAAGGTTTGATTGTTTATACATTGTTTAACCTAAGCTTCTGTATTGCTGTTTCCTTAAATGCGAACCTTTGTTAATTTGTTCTTTAATTCATTTTAATTTAGAAAGACTCCATCATCCATATCCAATAAAAGTGACCAGATGAAAGATGTCCTAGAAGTAGGTATGTCATGTTATGCTTCGCTTTGGTCTATCTCTCATATTTTTCACAGCAAATAAAATTTACCAGCAATGTGCATAATGGTCTGTTTTTGATCAAGTCTTAGTTGATTCAGGGTACATACAGTTGTGTTTTAATTTCGTAGATAAGATTGTGTGCTCACTTCCATCCCATTTTAACTTTTAGATGCCAGGCCAAGAAAATGCAACTAGCACTTAGGAAATTTAAACAAACAAATGAACCATTTTAATTTAATTGTCCTTTGAACAGATTTAATACAAAATTATTGGGGCATAAGAAACAGTGGCTTTCATGATCTAATTTGTATCATCCCTTTTCAGAGTGGAACCGTACTCATAACTTTTTAAAAATCAGAGGTATTAAAGTTGCATAGGTCATTATGATAAACCACTAGCAGTGGGTTACCTGGAGGTATTGGAGGGCAGAATTTGGTTTACCAGACAACATTCTGCATATTACAAGGTTTCTTCTCTTTCAGTTGATTTCAATGATGAAGCAACGATTGGGGAAGTTAGTAGGATCCCAGAACTTGAAATAGTATCAAAGGCAATAGATATTTCCCTAGCAAAAGTAAGTCAAATGTATGATGATAAACACAAAACGATGCATTAAAACCTGTTATTTTTATTGAGTAAGCCAAAGCTACAATAGATTTGTTTTTTATATTTAGTGCATCTGAGATTCATAATCCAGTAAATCCTAATAATCATTAAAATTGCATTTTTACATTCCTTTGTTAATGGTTCCAGTCAATTCTACATCTTTGTCCTTTTCTAATTTTTAATCAGTTATTTCAAAAGCAGTATTTTAAGGGGGGGTTAGAATAAGGAAGGAGGACTACTGGGATCTCTTATTGCTATTCCACTGACTTCTGTGTGACCTTGGGCAACTCACACTCCTCCATCCTTCATTTTATGCATTTGTAAAATAGTAATAACTGTATTTACCTTCCTCATAGTTATATTGTAAGGCTTCATCCATCAGTTATGTAGAGTGTTTCAAGATCCTTGGATAAAGTGCACTATACAGGTGCAATGTATTGTTATTATTTCATAGAATATGTTTGGAGCTGAGAAACCTCACAAACAAGTACAAAATAAGAATTTATTTTCCCCATTTCACTTGGGGCCTAATGCAATGTCACTGAAGTCAGTAGAAAGACTCCTAATTGACTGACTTCAGTTCAAGATGAATCAGGCCCTTGGTGTGTTGGTATTGTATGTTTATGAGTGGGAAGGTGTAGACTTGGGGATCGGCGGGTAGTGCTCGATCTATCGGGGATCGATTTATCGTGTCTAGTGTAGATGCAATAAATCGATCCCTGATTGCTCTGCCGTTGACTCCTGTACTCCACCACGGTGAGAGGCAGAAGCGGAGTCGATGGGGGAGTGGTGGCAGTCGACCCCGCGTCGTGTGGATGCGAGGTAAGTCGATCTAAGATACGTCGACTTCAGCTACGCTATTCTTGCAGCTGAAGTTGCGTATCTTAGGTCGATCCGCCCCCCCCCCCCAGTGTAGACCAGGCCTTGTTCATTAGCACACCAGGGTTCTCACTAGATGTGGACAAACTGGTTTGGATAAAATAAGAGTTATTCTGTACCTTCATCTCTCTCTCTCTCTCTCTAACGGAAACAAATTTGCATGTTTACCTATCCTCCAAACCAAACCTTTCATGAGGTTTAGAGTAATTTGATTTATTTTATTCCCTAGTGCTCCCTCCATTTTCTCATGCATCTTTATCTCTTTTATTTCGGGCAGAAGCAAAAGTATCTAAAAACCATGTGAAGGGCTAGTCTTATAGTACTTCCCACTCAACCAGAGCTAAAAAGCACTACAAATCTCATGAGAATGATTCCCAACCTGATTTCTATACCAAAGTAGTCTGAATAAGTATCCAAACACTGAAGGAGTCTGATTCTTACTTACATCCAATTTACACTAGCATAACTCCATTGACTTCAATGAAGCTACTCCTGATTGGGGTCAACAGTCCGAATTTGGTTGGTGCTAATATCTGAATTTGACAGTTTGTTACATGTCCCAAGACAAGTGTTATTCAAAACTTTGAACAACATGGGTCTCATACCACTATGTTTGGTAGGTGAAACAGATTGTCTATTCTACATAATGTGCCAGCTAAGGTACTTCTTTCACATCTTATATTTTATCCCATTGAATGATATCTTTTACTGAGGTGTGGGAAATTGAAAACTCTTAATCTTTTTTTTTTTTAACCAGTAGTACATATTATTCCTCTTGTAGTTAAGTTTGAGGCTGTCTTCTGTGAACATTTCAAGAAGCACAGTTTATCCAATGATCTACAGAAAAAAGCTTATAATGCTGAGCAACGCATAGTATTATGTGCTTAAAGAAAATAAGTGCTGAAGGAACATTGCAGGAAAAGGAAAAAATGACTCCTTTTCAGTGGACTTGCCCTGCTATTTACAGTATTTATAAAACCGAAATTAAAAGGGTGGTTATATAGAGTTAGTAATTATCCTGCCACATGCTGCCTCCTTTCTTATTATAAATTATGGAAAGAAAATATACCTATTGGGTTTGTTTTTAAAATGAGAGCTTTTTTCCTTTTTTTTTTATAGGAAATAAAAAATCTTTTGTTTGGCTCAAGCCTTTGTTGCTTCAGTGAAGAATGGAAAATACAGAACTTTACATTTAACAGTATACCACAGCTAAAATACGGCATCATTCAAAAAAAGGTACAGTGAATGACTTCCTTCAAAGCTCAATGATCTTTACCTTTAACCTAAAGTTTCCAGAAGTTGGGTGTTACCTTAATAAAAGAAACCATCCTTCTTTAAAAGATATTCCTTTTTCTTTTTCATCACTGGTTAATGAATGGAATTTTACTTCAGAAATCTTCAAAATAGCTAAATCTTTTAAGGAGAGTTGGGCTAGATGGAAAACTTCAGAAGAAAACTCAGGGTGCTCCAGGATGTATGGCGAATCAGTAGGTGACATTTATTCCTTTAAGTCAATTTTGAACCAGTGCTTTAGGAAACATTCTACTACAAGAGGTGCCATCATCTTGAGGTCTAGAATATCTTTGGTCATTAAAGATGTCTGTCTTCCATTAAAGGTCCTATGGAGACCAAGAGAAGGAGATTAAACCCTGGAATTCTGGTTACATTTGTAAATTTCAAATGGATACTGTATTTTTCTCTTCACTTCCTAACTTGACTTCACTTAACTGTTTGAATACTGCTGCTTTACAGTGTTAGTTTCTGTGTTAAACCATAGTAGTTCTGAGTGATATTAAACAGTTGCTGTGTTTCATGTAAACTTTTAATATCGGGAGCTTTCCTTGACAGACTGAAATAAACCCTGCTGTTTTCCACAGGTCAGTATTCCAAAGATTCACTCATTAGTTATTTAAATGATTTATTGAGAGAGTGAAGAAAAAGTTAAGTTTCTCTGCTGAATATTTGTTCTGGATGAAATGCATTTATTATCTATTATTTATATTGTGGTAGCACCTAGAGGCTTTATTCAGGGACTGGGGCCTCATTGTGCAAGGCGTTGCACATACCTATAATAAGCAACAAAATGAAGTTCCTAACTAGATAAAAATTGCATAACTGGATGCAGTTTAAAATGTGTGCTTGTGATGGGCCATGCCTCTCTAGGACTTTGACAGAAGAGTGGATTGAAGCCTCTTACATACTTTAAACAATAGTGTGTTTTTTCATAATGCTCTAAGATGGCAGATCACATTAATGCACAAGAATATAAAGGGTTGGTTCATATATTTAAGTATGAACCTGGACTTGAAAACAGTAATATATGCAGAGAGAGGAGCTTTTCATCTTCCCGTGACAGTGTCTGAATCAAGCCCATTTAGCACACAACTTCCGTCTCTCTTGTTCTTCTCTGTGGGTGAAATTCTTCCCTTTGCAGAGGGCCCACACCAGACATATGTACCACTGAAACCCTATTTTGAGAGTTTGTATGGGATTTGATTCATGAATAGGCTGTGGGGGCAGGGGGTGGGGGGCTCTGCCTAGGGGTTAATTTCAACCACTAGGAATATAGACCTTCCTCATTTTTTTTTCATCTTCAGGCAAGGTGCATGTTCAAGGGGCATTAGGAGCAATATTTTTGCTTGACGGTGGAGGAGATAAAACTCCTGTCCTTGACTTCATAGATGTCTGTACACTATGTTCTAGGCACTTTCAAACAGAACACAGAGGAAACAGAACCTCAATTAGTAATGCTGACTTTTCAGTTGCTTCAAAAAGCAGCACAATGCTGCAAATTCAGTAAGCAAAACACATAGATCAAAGGATGGCTTTAAACTTGAATGAAAACACATGGGTTGTGAAAAGTTCTCACCAGCATCAAACAGTGCTAGTTGTTTTGTTCATCCAGTGTATTATTCATTTTAGGGCGGCCCATGTGGAGTATTGGCCGCAGTTCAAGCCTGTGTCCTGCAACAACTTCTCTTTGGAGACAGTAACAGAAATAGCCATGTGCGGTGAGTCAACAGCTGACACCAGAAATATTTTCCATTCTAAATTAAACTAAAACTTTATCTTAGTGTGGCCAGAAAAAAGCCTTTCTGAGCTTGGCCCTGTTGCCTTTGCATTTGTATCCAGAAGAGAGAAAGTGTCAACTGATTTACTTGTTCTTCTTGAGGCTAATAGAAGTTGCCTTTTAACAGTGGATTTAAAGGCTAGCTTTTCATTAACATACTAGTTTCTTGTGACTAACCAAGAACCTTTTTAAAAAAAGAAACCCTGAATTATGGCCAACATCAGTTACTGAACCTGCGGAGTCCCATGATGAAGCAATGATTTAAAAGAGAATGCAATCATGTATTGTAAGACCATACTATGCATGGGGTCTTTCATGGCAATATAAAATCCCAATGAACTTGCAAAAAGTTAGTTATACCAGCTCTTTTCCTTGCTAATTTTACACAGCTAAAGTCCCTAATGGGATTTAAAAATTGTATGTCTTTTAATAACTTTACAGAAAAGTTACAGGATATTCATAGCATCAAGGGAAAATTACTTGCTACGTTCTAATAAACTCAGTGCACACAGCATTTGTGTCGGTGCTAAAGAGACAAATCTTATTCACTGTAGGATTTTATCATAGTGGGATTTTCAAAAGCACATGGACACCTAATTCCCATTAATTTCAATGGGATTTCTGAACCTAGACACTTTTGGAAAAGCTTTAGTGCCTGTCTGAATCTTTAGGTGCCCAAATACCGTTAAAATCTGTCTCTCAGCCTCTTTCTTTACTTGTAGACAGAAATTCTGGCCCCATTAGGACTTCAGTCTGGCCATGTAAATGGGACTTAAAGTGAGTGTAAGTGTAATTTACTTCCACTTTAAAATTTCCTTTCCTTGCCAGAATTGTGTAAAGGGACAAAGGACTTTTTACATGAGAAGGAGAATCTCCACCAATATATGCAGATTCTTGTGGAAATTATGTGATATCTGTTAAGATTTTCTGCAGTGATTCCTGATGATGTAATATACAATTTTGAGTTTTTCAAGGGCAAAAATTATGATTTGACATAAAATGGGAGAGAATTAGCAGTTAAATTGTTCTGTGAACAATTTTGGATCTCCACTCCTAAGTAAGTCTCAGGGGGTATGTCCTCAAAGTGAAACAGTGATTGCATATGCCTCTAATTGCTGGAGATCAAGGTTCAAATTATATGTTAGTATACAATTGAAAATCTATTTTTGGATGTCATTTTATTCCTCATCTCTCCTAAAGACACCATTAGTGCACAGATTGGTATAAATCAGCACTGCTAGCCAACTAATCTCAACAAAGGCCCAAACTGAAAATACCAGAGGCCAAATTATGCCCATTGTCACTCTGGTATAAATCTGCAAATCAGTTATTAGTTCCTCACCTTCACTCCCACAGCTGTGAAGAAAAAAACGTTGAGATTTGGGAGCTACCGCATTGTATTTTATACCCTCTCGAAAACAGGCTGAGCCTTATACGTTGGATGGGACTCAAATTCTCTCTCTCTCTCTCTCTCTCTCTGTTTCTCAACTAAACAAAAAAAAATGTGAACATGCAAAAATTGCATTGGTACATCCCCAAATGTCAAATGACGTTTGTGATCCCTATCCTATTATATTTAGATTCTTTTACTGCACTCACCTCCACAGCATCCGCTCAAAAAACAGCTCCACAGGAATCAGCACTTAGCAGATAATGGGTCAGACCCATCATTCTTGAGTAGATAGGGCCAACACACCTCTGCTGCCAGAAACAACAGTAATATCTGGAACTTGAGAGGTCATCGCCCTTTAGAATATTGCCAGACTCAGAAGCCCCACACTTGCTAATCGATCTGTTGTAGACATTTGCACTATACATGGCATTATAATATTTAGGCACGAGATTCAAAGCTGGTGGGGTGCTTGAAAGAAATGTCCAGCAGAGGTGGGCCTGGTACTAACCTTTTAAAACATTCGTTTTAACCTCAATCTTTGTTTAACTTCACTTTTCTCAGTAATCTCTTTGTGACACTAGTGCGAAATTAGTGCTCTAATTATTTGATATCAGTTAAGGAATTTTCATTGTTTTGTCATTAGAAAATATTACACCTTAATGGAAAATATTATTTTGATTTGTCTTTAGATAAAGGTCTGGATATTCTGTTTGATATATATATATATATTTCAATTTATCTTTTTCTGATAAAAAACAACTTCACTATCTGACGGCTATCTCAAATCCCTAATCTAGGTTACTTAGGCAAACATATACTGTGAATATATACATACGTACACACACACACACACACACACACACACACACACACACACACACACA